CTAGAAACACCTTTGACATTTGCAAGCAGCCACTTGGAGCCTCTCTTTGATCTGAAGCTCCATGTTTCTGCTCCTTCGGCCCTCCAGACACTTAAATGGTAAAATTAGAGAAGCGCCTCAGCACAAAGCAAGGACCAAAGTTCCCACAGTCCCAACACATCTGGGGCTTAGAATCAGCTCCGACTCCTCCACCCAGCTAGGAAGGAGATCTATCTGCTGATCTATCTGCACAGCTGCCTCCAACTCCTACCACCTTTTTTTCTCTCAATCCATGCAGCCTTGGTCTTCCTCTTCCTTTCAACAAACACCATCAATTCCTCTTTCACTGCTCTAGACCAGCATTCTTCGAACTGGGGTACATGTCTGAAGCAAAGCCAACACTTCCCGATGGGTTCACCATCACAGCTGTCAGGGAATAATTCCCAGACCCCCAACTTCCAAATATTCTCTTGTCTAAAAATGGATCTGCCTGGGACCAAGACTGTGATGGAGGGACATCCACCCAGTGATGAATGGAAGCTGTTCTTCACCCACTTTACAAAAGTAATGTATTTGCATTACCTTCCCCAGATCTTTCTAAACGGCATTACCCCAGGGTGTAAAGACCTCAGGGCGACAAACAAAAGAACAAATAAAAACGCTAATGCAGGTTGAGGAGTGAAAGGCTCCAGCATTTGGGTAACACCCTCCTTTTCTAAGTCAGGTAATTTCCAATTCTTTGTTTAAACAACCTGAAATATTTAAATACAAAGATCCTTATGGCCAAAAGAATTACAAAATACTGGGTTTCAATTTATATACTTTTTTGCTACAGAAAGGAAGACAGAGTGATCAATAAGACACTTTCAAGCATAAAAATATATTACTTCGGGATAGAATTTTATAGGAGAAGGGAAACGGAAATATGAATTTAAGGACAAAAAGACAAGGTTTAAAAATTTTAACGGTTTAAGAACTTATTTATGCATTTTTAAAAATGAATGATACTCGGAAGCAAATACAGATCCTACTAGTGCTTTTTAAATGATGTAACAATTTAAAACACCAATATTTACAATATGCTGAAAAATGAAATCTTTTGCAACTACTTAAACTTAGGATGAAAAGTTTTAGCAATTAGCTTAAAAATGTGTGCAGGGTACAGAGTTTTACAGAATCTTTTAGGAGCTACAGGAGCAGAAAAGTTAGAAGCACACTGCTATAGACCAACCTGTCGGAGCCCTTCCAAGACAAAATACTGGAGACAGAGAATGAACAATGTCCCACCTACCTAGTTTTGAGTGAAGATGGGCTGGAGAAGGGGTGGGTATCAGCATTTTCCCCACCCTCCTCTTAGTCATAAACACATTTGTTGAACCTGGTTCTACAGCCAACAGTTTCTAAGATTGATGATCAAGTTTAATATCCAATCTTAACTGCATTGCTGACTTAGCCCTTGGCTGAGGAGATGTATCTCACTAAGGAGAATCACTACAGTACTCTTCTTTGAGTTCTCCAGAAAGACTCATGAGGCAATACCATAAAGGCTCACTAATTTTGTATCTATCTTATTATACGATGACCAATTTCACCACCAGGGATGTAATATGGAATGCGTCTATCTGACTGGCATTTCAAGACTGACACGCATAATGCAAAGAACTGGAGAGTTCTTTACTTACTGTGTAGTTAATATTTTAAGTAAGGCAAGTGTACTGAGCAGTAACCTCAGATACCTCTCCATACCCTAAGCCCTCACACTCCACTTTCTTCCTTCTTTCTCTGATTCCGTACTCTCTTCTTCCCCACTGCCCCTCCCTCTTTCAGCCACTCCTTTGGGAAGGAGAAACTCATCTAAATATGATGGATGAGACCAGCACTTAATTCGGTGTCTACACTGTTTTAAAAATACTGACTTTCTGGTCCTCGAGCTCTTGGAGAGACAGTGAGGCTATTTAGAGCAGACATTAGACCTACTCCAAACCTACTCCCATTTAGTATGAGAAGGCAGTACAGTTTGAGATAAAAGGTCTGTCTTGAGAGTCAGAAACTCGGCTGGAGATCCCACTCACCCATTTACTAGGTATGTCATTCAAATTCTCTGAATCTCAGGTTCCCAAAGACCTTAAAACGGGGTGCTGGGGATTTGAGACAATACACATCAAGCACCTAGAAATGTACCAGCACATAATAGGTATTCAGTAATCATCAGTTATGAAATTAGATGTTAATATAATATTCTTTAACGATTGCTTAAAATCAGCCCTTAGTTTTCTCCTGGCATAATATCAACCAGTGGCATGTTTTTCAATTTCTTTCTAGTCTCTTTGAAAACAAGTGATTTGGAAAATGACTACCTTTTATGTCTAAGAACAGGGTGTCCGTGTGTAAAATGTACCTGCAGTACTAAAACCGCCAAAAAACAGACACAGGACGAGGACCACACGAAACCTGAGATTTCACATAGAGCATTGGCATGGCCTTAACATGTTCTAAGCACTACTGTGAAACACATTGAAAAATAAGCATGGAGGGGCCGGCCCGGCGGCGTAGTGGTTAAGTTCATGCGCTCCACTTAGGCAGCCCCCAGGGTTCGCAGGTTCAGATCCCGGGTGGCAGGCATCCCACATAAAATAGAGAAAGATGGGCACAGATGTTAGCTCAGTGCCCATCTTCCTCACAAAAAAATAAATAAATTTCAAAAAAGCATGGAAATCTATGATCGACTCTTTTAAAGTCTCTCCAAATTTAACTGGTAAGCTAACACTTTCCCCCCATCAAATTAGCAAAGGTTTTTTTTTGGAAGATATTCAATATTGTAAGGCTGAGGGGAGAGTGTTACTTCCACACTTCTGATAGTGTAAAGAGTATCACCGTTAGTCTCTAAAGCAATCTGACAACATATATCCAGGACTTAAAAAAGATTAACATGCTTATTCAGCAAATGCAGGAATATAGCCTAACTCAAACAAACAGACTTCTGTACAAGAGTGTTCCTTATATCACAACTTATAATCGTAAAAAATAAAGTAGCTTGATGTCCACCATACAGGACTAGATCATATAGCCATCCCATGGAATGTTATGCAGCTATTTAAAAATACATATTTAAATAAGATACCATTGTTAACTGAAAGTAGCAAGGTATAAAGCAGTATTTGGCTATGATTCCAAATTCGTGTGTGCCATTGTGATTCTCAAGGGGGAACAAGAGAAAATTTACAATAAAGAATTGGAATTACACACAGTGATCAAAATCCATTCCACAGCTTGAAAGGACACAGTGTTAAGACTTGCTACCCACGGCCCAGTTTTAAAAAGAAGTGTGGGAGGACTACACTGCTGATTCAGATCCTTTTTATGAATGGCAGGGATATAGAAAGTGGCTAATAATGCTAAAAGTTATGTCTGCAACTGATATTTAGCCTCTTTAAACTTTCAGTTTAATGAAGCTTTTGGGTGACTTTTACACCACATGTACCAGTGTTCTCTGCTTAGCTAAGAAGTTTTGGCGGAGTGTGCCAAGATGAGAGAAGGTCAGAAAAGGTCAGGACTCATAACCTTCCAATATATACAATTTTGCACAGTGGAAGAGGAAATGAAACACTGTAAACACACATTCTCTCCTTCTTTCTCTCGGATTCAGATCTGCAGATATATTTAAAGCACAAAACACTTCCCTGCTCTAAGCAGAAATGCCTCAACACACCACTTGTCCCTCCTTGGATTCATATGCACTTCATTACTAGTTTTAAAACTCCTAATTTATTCCCAATGCTCACCACTACCACCACCAACCAAACAAGGCTAGCAAGCATGCCAAGATTGTTTTCCAGCTTTCACGAACTTTCCTGCATTTTTCACATCAGTACTTCAAATGTCTAACCCCACAGATAAGAAACGGAATAAAATGCCTTTGGACATTTATACATCTCACGTTACGCGCGCTCTTGTACTCCAGAAGAGGAGGAGTAACTCAACTCCTTGTGACTTGAAAAGACATCTTTCTGTTCAGGGCTCTTCTGACGTGGCCTGTGTGACCCCAGGTCTATCTGTTTGCCTGCCAGCCTGGGCCCAGGTGCTTCCAGCAGCCCCACAGCAGAGCAAGCTGGTTTCTGCAAACAGTCTGAAATCGCCTGAAGCCAAAAATCAACTGAAGTTATTGTGAAAACACAAGAGCAGACAAAACACACCTAAATTGCCACCTTACATGTCAAACTCTCCAACTGAAAGGTGTCTACTTGCTTGCCAGTATGCACATCTACTTGTTTGCAGATGTCATAGTGCAGAACAAACAGCTGGGGGATGTTTGGTTGGTTTCTGGTGGTGAGTTTCAGGAAATCCAAGCATTTCTTAGTTCTGAGCTCAGGTTGCAAGTCAATATAGGTTTTGACGACTTAAATTTTTTCCAGGCTGGAAATGCGCTAAGCTAATAATTAACCTTAAGCATACCATCACTTCTGCTAAAAACATTTTCTACACACAGCCCTAAATTACTTTCAGTTCGGTTAAACAAAACAGACAAGCTGTAATAAAAGGTCTCCGAGAAACGTGATCCCTTTCATTGGTCACCCAGGAGCTTTTCCTCTGAAATCGGCTGCTTCTTGTGGGGGAAGGCGGAGGACAGCATCCGAAATAAAGATGCCACTCGAAGCACAATTATTTTGTAAGAAAGTTGCCTAAGATAACTCTTCAGGGTTTCCTAGGTTGAATAATTCTTGCAGGCGGGTGGGGAGAGACAGCTCGCCTCCAAGATTACTATCTGCAGAGGCTTCCCCTAGGTTGATTTTTTTTTTAGGCGTCCTTTTAAATTATACTGCAAGGGCTCTGATTTTCACATCTCTAACTGCTGCTGGGGGGAGTTGAGAGCAACGCGCCAGGGCTGCGGCAGCCGCTCCGGCCAACTCCGGGGGTTGGGGGGAGCCCACTCCCACCCGCCCGAGCCCCCGCGCGCGCACACCCGCGCGGAGACTGCGGTCCGCGCCCGTCTGCCCTGCGCCGGCGGCCCGGCCGGGACTCACCGCTGTCCAGCCGCGCGATCTGGGGCAGCCGGTAAGTGCTGACCAGCAGGTCGAGCGGAACGGCCACCGAGCTCCACTTCACATCCTTGAGGCTGCAGCCCAGAGAGGGCGCCGGGTCCATCTTCCCCGCCTCCTGCTGCCCCGCGCTCCCGCCGCCGCCGGCACCACCCGCGCCTCGGCGGCCGCCGCTGCTCGCGCTCGCGGTCTGGGACGCGCGGGAGGCGCCGGGCACTCCGGGGGCGCGGCGGCTGGGAGGGAGGGGGCCCGCGCCCGGCTCAGCTGCCGCTGCGGGGCATGGCTGGGGCGCCCAGCGCCCTCAAGCCCCGAGAGGACTCGCAGCAGCCCTGTGGCTGCGGGCGGCCCGGGTGGCTGCGGCGGCTCCCGCTCCGCCTCCTCCTCTGGCCCCGGGTCTGCAGCTGCGGCGGCCGCCCGCTCGCCTCCTCCTCCTCTTACCCCTCCTTCCCTCCGCCTCGAGCGTGTGAGGAGGAGCCGCGGGTCTGAGAAACGCCATAGCAGCGCTCCCAGCACTGACTAATCAACAAGGTGCGAGCAACGCCTGCGCAGCTCGCGGAGACACCGCCTCCGCCCCCGCCTCCCCGGCGCCGCCCGCTCCGCCTCCCGCGCGGCCTCCTCCTCCCGCGGCCCGGCGGGCTCGGCGCGGCGTCGGCTTCCCGGCTGCGGCGGCCGGCGCCAGCAGCACGGCGCGCTCCGCAAGCTTTAGCTCTCGCTCCCCCGTCCGACCGCTCGGGCGCCCTGCAGCCTCGGTGGGCGCCGCTGCGCGCCCAGCCTCCTTCCCTGCCCGAGACCCTTCCCGGAGCCCGGGAGGAGCAGAGCGTGCTGAGGAATCTTTCTCTTAGTCGCAGTGTTGGGCACCCTCCCCTCATGCTTCCCACCTTGGCTCTGGAGTTGCTAAGACGGGGCACAAAGGAGACCTATTTGGTACTCATCTCTTGCGAGTGCCACAGGCATTTCTCCCCAACCCTACAGTTCTACAAACCGAGCTGGAAGTTAATCCCACCAGTCTAGACTTTGGCTGCTAGGCAGAATGAAAAAGGCCCCAACACCGAGAAGGAGAAAGATGATGAATGATCGGTACCTACATAAGGGAAGGTGACCGTGGGGTTTAGTACTTTCATTGTATGACGAAGCTGCTGGGAACCGGGAAGGATGAGGCCACCAACCGCCCTAGACATGCCAAGGGACAGGGCACCAAGGGACAGGGCAAACTAGATTACTGGGAGCCTACTGGCGCCAGCGGTTTTTTTTCCCCCCCAAAGCCCCAGTAGACAGTTGTATGTCATAGTTGCACATCCTTCTAGTTGTATGTGGGACATGGCCTCAGCATGGCCGGAGAAGGGGTGCATCGGGTTCACCAGCAGCAGAGCGCGAGCACTTAACCTCTAAGCCATGGGGCTGGCCCTGGGGCAGCTGTTTTCACATGCTTTCCCCAATTCTCTTTCGATCTTAAAGGCTGGGATAGTCCCTGTTTTCTAGATTAGGTAATTAGGCAAGGTTACACAACTTGTAGATGGTGGTGCTAGTATTCAAGCCCACAGTTCGCTTTCCCTGATAAATCATTTTTTCCCCCCAATATTGAGCATGGCCTGCTCACTGCGGACAGAGCTCAGAATGTAAAGGTGGCTGTGAGATACGTTTCTTTAGGCATATCCTGACTTTTGTGTGCTAATCTTTTTTTAGCATTATTTTATACTAGCAGAGGTGAGTGGTTGCCAGGTGAAAGGGTTGCATATCAACTCTTTCTGTTTTTCAACACGTATTCAGTGTTCAGTGCATGACAAGGCAGAACAAGCACCGGCTTCGCCCGCGCAAGGGGACTTAAAAACATCCTGCTTGTCTTTCAGTGGGCTGACTTAGGTCTGTGCCAATGAATAAACACCTCCATTAGCAATTGAAGAAAAACAGATCCTTCTACACCCACCTTCCTTATCCTATCACTTTGAAGCATTGGCGATAATTTTCACAAAATTCTTTTGCTGAAAGTTTTGACGTTTGTGTCATTCACGTTAATATTTCAAAAAATTCTTGGAAAAAAGTGGGAAACATTTTAGCATATATTTTACTCAGAATCACAGGTCTATAGAGTTCTAAGATTTGCTAATATAATGAAGAATTTTTAAAAACCATAAGGAGCTAAGTGCCAGCTATGTCTTTTCTATTTAAATAATTAATCATTTCTGGAACTAAAGCTCAGACTCTAAAAACGATATAGGAAACATTTAAGAATGGGCAGGGTCAGGGGTCCTTCAACCAGTAGGTAGATCCTAAAACCTTATAGTAGATTGATTTTTAAAAAATAACTTTCTGCTGCTATTATATCCTCTTTAAAAGCTTCAGGGAATAGAAGTAGTTCCCTCTCACGGAAGGGTTGGCGACTTATGACCTAAAGACAAGATAAAAAGTACAAAGATTAATGCAGTCACCTTTTTTTTAATCAATAAAGGACTTGCATTAGATTTGCTCTTATTGCTGACCTTGAAGACAAGGTTTCTTTTTAATTTTGAGTATTAAAGGGAAGACATTTCAATGAGCTACAAATTCTTATGTAAGTCTCCTGTCCTGGTGGAACTCTTAGAAAAGATCCTATTTATAAGACACAGAGTTTGGGTTAAACTGTAAGAAACATCACCTAAGACAGGTAATCTGGGCTGTGCCCCGTGGCTTAGCTGTTAAGTGCACACACTCCGCTACTGGCAGCCTGGGTTTGGATCCTGGGCACGCACCGTTGCACTGCTTCTCAGGGCATGCTGAGGCAGTGTCCCACATACAGCATCTAGAAGGATGTGCAACTATGACATACAACTATCTACTGGGGCTATGGGGAGAAAAAGGGAAAAAAAAGGAGGAGGATTGGCAATAGATGTTAGCTCAGGGCCGGTCTTCCTCAGCAAAAAGAGGAGGATTGGCATGGTTGTTAGCTCAGGGCTGATCTTCCTCACAAAAAAAAAAAAAAAGAAGAAGAAGGGTAATCTTTCAATCTGGCTGAACTGCACTTCCAAACATGGTATGAGGGGGTGTGTTTCTGAAGATTGTTGGACCAATGCAAACCATGTATATAAAAGAATACCAACTCGATGTGGGGGCAAAACTTATAGGATTTTGTAGTTTATTAAAAGAGAATATCCAAGAAAAGTTTTCTATAAAGCAAAATTGCATGTACCAGTCCCTCGTTCCTACTGGGTACCTTTTTAAATTGAGATTTGTGGGAGGCAGCACATTATGGTGATTAAAAATATCAACTCCGGAGCCAGATGGCCTGGGTTTGATTAGTGCCTCTGCTACTATTTAGGGTCTTGGGCAACGTGCTATTTCCTCCTCTGAAAAATGAGGATAATTGCTATAGACTGAATGTTTGTGTCCCCCGAAATTTCTTATGTTGAAACTGTCAACCTTAAAAGTAAAATATCTAGTTGTTTTACCAACAAAAGAAGTTTATTTAGGAATAGCCAAAGAATTTCAATTCACAATGCACATGCTATGGCAGAACATAGGCAGAGCCAACAAACGGGGGAGAGGATCATTATTTTATAGAGAAAAAGGAGGAAATTGGGAGGGATTGTTTGGAACAAAAGTCCATTGAAGAAAAGCAAGAGTTCGGAGTGGGTAATGGTTCTCATTGGCTGAGTTGCTGGCATAGTCATTCCTGTTTGTGATGCAGTGTATATTTCTTCCTGTAATAAATGATTCTTGTTGATGACTTCTGTTAGGGTCTGTAATTGACTATCTTTCCTGTAATTGACCTGGAATGATACTGAGTGGGAGCTCCCCCTTCTGGCCTCCTGACTCCATTTTAAATGAAGTTTCCCTTTATTAGTTTTCACAAAACCTAATCCCCAAAGTGATGGTATTTGGAGGTGGGGTCTTTGGGAGATGATTAGGTCTATGAACCAGGAAGTTGCTCTCACTAGACACAGAGTCTACCAGCACCATGATCTTGGACTTCCCAGCCTCCAGAACAGTGAGAAATAAATTTCTGTTGCTAATAAGCCACCCAGTCTATGGTATTCTGTTATAGCAGTGGGAATAGACCAGGATAATAATAATAGTTCTCACTTCATAGGGTTGATATAAGAATTTAATCATTTAATATATGTCGAGCATTTAAAATAGCCCCTGACACATAGGAAGTGCTATGGAACTATTTACTAGTATTATTAAAAGGAGTATTGGCTTTGAAGGGGCAAAATTTAGAGAAAAGATGAAGAGACAAATGGAGCTGTGAGGAAATGATTAGATTTTAGAGGAATAATTATATCAGGCAAGGAGTAGAGGAATATTCCTCAAATGGGAAACCCAGGTGTCTGCTCCCTGCTGTGAGACCTCACGCCCCAAATCTAGAGTCTGCAGGGTTAAATTATTCCACAGTGAGCCAGCCCTGCTACCCAGCAGATCTGGGCAGTGAACATGGTGACTCTTCATATGCTGATCTAATGATGTTGATAAGTCCAAGGTGAATCAGGCGTATGATACCATAGGACTCCTATGAGGGCTGCTTCACAGCTTCCTAACTGTGAAACTACTGTTTATATATACATAACTTGTTGATTCTTTGCATTATCAGCTTTGTGAGATAAAAATATTACATGTTGGTTTTCTTCATATCAGAGTGTCCTGAGCCACATAATATGCTAGTGGTCAAGTATGATAGCCAAGTTCACAGCCCCGGTGGTTTTCTAAGTCTCTAAGCTCTTTTCCTTTTCAATTAATTTCCACGCTGTCGCCAGAGTTACTTAAAAGTCACTCCCTGGCTAAAACCTTGTACAGCATCTGTATCCTCATTGTCTGTGGAATAAAGTGTAAAGCCCTCTGCGTGATATAAAAAGTTCTTCCCTTATGTGGCTCAGTCTGCCTCGCCAGCCTCATTTCGGTTGACTACCCTCTGACACCCCAGAATCTCGTAGTAGTACCTTCTTGTAGTTGCTCAAATGTGCCATGCTAATAATGCGTGCTCTTGAGGTGGTTCCCTCACCTTGGAATGACTTTCTGCCTTTCTCTTCCTGGGAAACTCTTATTCCAGCTCCTGCTGGTCCCTGTATTCTGTGAAGTGCTGTGTCTCCTCTAAGGCGCTGACCACTCCTTTTCCTGTGTCACCATTGTACCTGGCATACTCCCTTTTAATTGTGTTAATTGCACTATGACTTATTATCTGTTTTTATGTTCGCTTTCCCTACTAGACAGCAATTGTGTGACCGCTGAAAGTGTATTTTATTCCCTTTGTTTCTCTGGCTCCTGTTACCATGCCTGGCACATGGAAAGTGCTCCATCAATGTTTGTTGAATTAAGTAGTCAATGGGCTGAGTCATCTTCACGCTCTATATTATTTCGTAGGTCACTGCATCTCTTGATGATAAACAATTAATATTCGTCATGTCTAGAAATTTTCAAGATTTTTGAGGTTCCGATCCCATACAACAGTGCTTGCTATTAGATTGGCTACCAATTCTTTTCATTCATCTGAAAATTTGAATTTCGTTGAAATCCAGTCCTGCACTTCTGTCACTGAACT